TTTTTGGGGGGGGGGGGGGGGGGAAAGGGAGGGGGGAAGAAGGGTGTGTATGGGGCGGAGGGGGGGAGGGAGGAAATGTACGGCGCACCAGGGGGCCAGGAGTTTTGTCAAGTGCAGTGCGCCGGGGGGGAAGGTGGGGTGCACCCCACGAGGTGCAACTGACGGAGGCGGCTGAAGGGAAAAAGGATTTGCGGGTTGGGGGGGGGGGGAGAATGGGGGAGAAGGGGTTTAAGGGAAGGTGAAGGAGGAGGGAGGCGTTCGTCAGTAACTAAACAACTGATCAACCAACTCTGTTGACCTTCTAACCGCCGGCTGGTCGTTATATCTGATGCCTGGAGCCGTTGCCCGCGCCGATATTTTGTGTGCTTGTGTGGTGATGGGTTTCATCAATTATACTATCAAGGTTTTTAATAGTTACTGTATCCACTGACCTGTGTGTAGTATGTATGTATGTATGTATGTATGTATGTATGTATGTATGTATGTATGATGTGTGGGACAGGGGGTATATCTTCACCCGTGGCAGCTACCCTGCCTTCCCCGGTATTTGGGGGCACCCTCATCCAGTCACCCTAGTCGACTTCTCAGTGGATCGCTCAGGTTCCGCACCCACCACCAGCATCCAACGGAATCTGCCGGGTCGACAGCGGCCCAACTCCATTCCTGGTCGGCTCGCGAGTCAACTTTATCCCAGGTCATCACGGTTTATCGGCTAGGGACACTCTTAACTTCCACCATCGGAAAGATTTTCGACCCTGACAGGTCTCGATCCCGGGGGCAATGGTCCGTGCGTGTATGCACGTATGTGTGTATGTACGTATGTGTGTATGTATGTATGTATGTATGTACGCATGTACGTATGTGTGTATGTATTATGTATGTATATATGTCCCTACTCCCGCGCCCAGGAGTTGGTTGCTCCAGGTGGAGCCCCTGCTCGTGACAGTTTGGTGGTGGTGGGGGACCCGTCCACCTGCCTGCTGGCTGAGGCTAATGCACCGAGATTCTGGTAAGATACTGTCCGCTTCATTTATTTTAGTGTCCTTCATTCACTTCGGCTATATGACGTATACGGATCCATGCTTTGGTACGTCTCTCTAAGTTTTACAGTACCTGAATGCGCACACAGAGAGGGCCTTGGAGACGCACTACTGCTTCCCCAACGGCCCCAATAGTGCTCCATTGAAATCTGGCAGCAGCGTATCTTCTTTCGTTTCCTTCCCCCCTGGATTGACAACGTCTCCCAGGTTTTCTTTCTCTTCACGCTGTTCCTCTCCCCTTCGGGCCCCTCCTCTCACTCGTTCGTTCTTCGTCTTCCTCCCCCGTCCCTCAGTTCACTTCCCACTTTCCCGCGTCTGGTTCGTCTTTCCCACCCCCACCCCACCCCCCTTTCCGCCAGGGGCTCTTGTGCCGGTGTAACGAAGCCTGGTTCGCTGGGGGAGGGCGACCGAGCTGCATGCAATTGCCGGGCGTACAAGGGCCGGGTGGACAACGCGGCGGTCATTCCATGCCTGATCAAGGTACCTTAATGGGGTTCCCGTGGGGGG